TCAACTTATCATCCGGTCATCATCAGGTGAATACTTTACAAAGTCATGTATCTATGATGCAAGATTATTTTACACAATTAACAAATCAACGTCCACAATTATCATCTTCATCATGTTCATTAGATTTACAACGAGCAGGGTTTGGCGGTGAACAAACTCCATCTCATGCTGTCGCTGCAGCAATGCAACAATATTTAGCTCAAAATAGTCAAAATCATATGAATATCATCAAGCAGAATAATAATAATAATTCTGCACATAATCATCAAACTAGTCCAGAAAGAAATTTATCCAATTTAAGAACATCGTTCGATCCAACTGTACATTATCAACAATTCCAATTGGCTGCTGCTGCTAAAGAACAGCAACAACAACATCAATCTCATCAACAACAATTATTGTTACAACAACGTCAACAACAACAACAGCAGCAAAATATTGGTTTTGTTGAACGTAGTCAATCATCACATCATCATAACTTACCAGGTCCAACTGTTGCTTCTGTATCTTCGTCTCCTGTTGCCGCTGCTTCTTCTTCAATGTTTAATCATTTACATTCACAAGCGTTTCCTAATTTTCATTTTCCCCAATTTTAATTGGATCATCATAATTTTGTACGTAATTCTTGGGGTTTTTTTGGGGGGGGAAGAGAAACAAAAGCAATGTTTTAATCTTATTTCAATCAGTCGTTTGTCCATTTACTCAATATGTGTATGTGTGTGCTTATCATATACACAACTGAGAATATTCTTATTACTTTTTTTCCTATACTTATGTAGACACCATTGTGCAGAAAAAATATACTATATTCTTGCAGACAAAACGTAATGGTGTTATTCATTTCTATAGACCCCCCCCCCGCAACTCCCCTCCACCCCACTTTATACGGTTCTTTTTTTTATACATAAATCGCACACTTAAACTATCTTCATTCATAATAAGTATTATGAAAGTGAAACAATAATGACAAGGAGACTATTTTGAATGATTATTATTTGTATAGTTATATAATATAAATTATCCTCTTATGTATATTTCAATACTTGAATAGTTTAATTTTTCCAGTTTCATCATGTACATACAATCACCATTACTACCATTTCAATGTATTATTCAGAGATTATTCTAATAGACATGCATATACATATATATATTGTATTATAGAATTGCATGCATAATAATTTTCCTAATACTGTTTTGTGCGTAAGCGTTGTTATGTTAATAAAACGTTCATTGTTTTCGTACATATACATCATTGTACTTTGTCACAATTTCATTGATTTATATTTCACCCCCCCCTCTTTATTCATCGTTAACAATTGTTTCACTTTAATTATATATATTTGTTTGTGTGTATGTCAACCGGTTGTTGATATGTGTTACAGTACATTAATGAGTAAAGTATTGTTCATTTATCATTCATGATAATGTTATCATATGGCAACTCGAACTGATTTACGTACGTACGTTTATACGAAGTTCTACGTTGTAGCTGACTGATAGTGTTGTTATCATTATTATTATTTTAAAAGAAATAAACAATCATTTTCTTTCATATTAGTTTTGCTTGAAAGTGTACTTGAAAATTGTCAAATGTCTTTTAGCCACAATTATGTATACATCATCATCATCATAAGTAGTATCATTACCACCTTTATCATTACGACAGCTATTGCCATCACATTTGAACAACATAAATAAATATTTATTTTTAGACCTTTGGTGTTTATGTTTTTAATCTTCTCGACGAATTGGAATACATCGTTAACACTGTGCTTTACTAGTAAAACAAATATTTATTTACTTAATTCATAGTAAATATTGTCTATATTACATTTATCTATATGAAAAACAATTGGTTTTGATAATTAGGAAGGATAATTTTTTAAAATGGTTCATAACTGACATTGTTACTTTTAAATCATATATATATATATACCTCTGTTATTTTATTTAAAAAAAAAATAGAAATTATATATGATGCATTTAATTGTGAACTTTGTTTTTCACTCTCATGATTCCTGATGATCGCCGATGTTTTGACGTATACATATATATTTGTCTGTCGGTGTGTGTGTGTGGTTGGGCAAAAACTGACCTTGTGTTCAATATATATATATATATATGTGTATTATTCATAGCTTCATGTTATTTCTGAGATGCTAATATGTTTTGTTCATATGTTTGTCGTTGAGTTATTGTAAAACAAACTATGTGACTAAACAGTTTTAAAAATGGTCACTGATTATCTACCTACTAATTACTTCCAATCTACAGTTAGGGCTTTGTGTACATATTTCTTGATCAAAATTCTTCAAACTCTGTTAAAATTTGTGTGTGGTTTAAAGCGGTAGTTAGAGGTAGTTGACATGATATCTGCGACCTAGGTTTCGTGCTGTTTAACACTCGTCAGCAAGGTGTAACTAGGATCTTCAGGGAGGCGGATTCGGTTCTGTGTCACCCAGCTTCACAGTCAGAGACGTCACTACGTTGTTATCCGAGCCCCGTCCTACTTCTCTTAGGACTTAGATGTATTTAAAATTGTTTGATCACTTGGTAATGACCTGTGTTGCTTTCCTTTTTAATGCGAATTGTTATTTCAGGACTACCGGTCTGCATCGATACATAGCTACACCCTAGTGAGTGATGTCGTTCAACTCATTAATTACTTTATTTATTTTAGAATTTTCATTAGCCCTGATGGGTTGCTTTACAGAATTCCCTTCTGTATCACTTTAAGGTTGTGAAGTGTTCCTTATTGAAGTAGACGATATACATGAACTGGAAGTATTCCGTCATAGCTATCTTCGAGGCATATGGTTGAACCACCAAATAAATTATTCTGGGGATAAGCGCATGGTATTAGGACAGTGATACAGCTAAAATCCTCCATTGATTAGATTGGTTAGTATACGTATTACATATGACTGATCCATGTTTAAACGCCCAATGCTTTTAGACTTGTGATTAGGTAGGAAAGCTTTAAGGATGGATAAGTCGAGATATGGGATTAGTTCATTAAGTCAATGATTTTGATCTAAATAATTTTAGTCAGTAAGAGCTTTCTGAATAGAAACCACCTAGTATTCGTAATTAGTGGTTAGATATGCCATTCGATAACATAGAATCCCTCTGTGAATCAGTTACATTTATTTTTTCCTCATCTAAAACTTGATTTAAGCATTATATCGATGAGACAATAATTTATGGACGACCTTGAGTGAACTTGCGAGTGTCTATCTAATAACCAGGACCAAATGATGGTTATAAACCAGTGTGAGGAATTAGAATTATGATTTACAGTTGATGAGTAAGGTTAAGAATTAGATTTGTATTTTCATCACGAACTGACTTCACCTATAGTGCCAAGACAATACTGTGCCAAATTGATGAGTGAATTTCACGCCAAAATCCGAAACCTTGTTATCTTATGCGTGATTAGTTCGTCCATAAATTATAGTCTCGCCACCATTTCTATCTTTCATACTGGCAATTCTCATGTTTAGATTTTTATTGCTTTTGATATTGTTTTTCATCTTGCTTTTTCCTTTCGATGCATTGATATGATATGTGATAATTTGTACTGGGACATAAACATCTGATCTTATGTTATTCTTTGACTGACACTATCTTTTCTAATAAAATTAAATTTAAATAGTTAGATTATCATAGGTTACTTATTTCTTCAATTTTACAGCATATTTTTTTAATTATTTTTAGTAGACAATTTATTTATTTAAAAAACATAAACATTGGTACAAAGGGGAACCAGATACATATGTGCCACACAAATCTCATTTGATTTGTTTGAGGGCTGTGATACCGCCCAGGTGCCCAAACTGAAGCACGGGCCACACTCTGAGTCTTTGACCTAAAGGTGTAATCCACAAGACAGTGGAGCATCGTGAGGAGATGCAGTCCCATAATAGCCGGTAACTAACAATTGGTTCATACGCCATTTGTTCCCTCAGGATACTGGAGCCAGTCCATGTGCACCATTGGTTTGGAATCAGGGTTTTCCAACTCTCCTAAGTGAACATTCCGTATCCACCAACCCGGTTAATGCTCCGGACATTCGTTTTTCGTCCTCTCAATTTCGTAAACAACACTGATGCCACGAGAAGGCAGTGAGTAGGACGAATAAGCATTCAGTGAATATCTGTTACAACAAATATTGTTCATAGTTTTTTATCAGTTTACTTTTTAAGAAATAGAAGTAATACGTTGTTGGCCTATTGCTATTCATCGGATATTCATGTTGATTTATCATTTGACAAACCTCTTTATTCATTCCACTTTTTTTGTGTTTTTATATATCATTCAAAGTTTTACAATAAATAAATATTTTGTAGTAGACTTTTAGTTCAAATTTTAACTGTTGATTGTTAGTTGAGCATTGTAAACTGGATCATATTAGAATAGTCCTAATGACAAACAGTAATGCATCGATTAATACGCATCATTAAACGTACCTTATGAATTGAGGAATCATTTAGTAGGAACAACTTGATTTCTTGTTCAATTATATCTCTGACTAAAAGTTAAGACTATCACGGTTAAAGTAAAACGCTTTATACTCATTTAGTCTTATTTGTTTGAATCTTCCCATCTACATGTTAGGACTGCAACTGGTCAGTCTCTAATTGGCATATGTGCATACTGTGCGTATTGCCTCAATATAGCCTAAATTCACAAGCATGGTAAGCAAAGGTGGATAGTGGCTAGCAGTGGAATCCAGTTTGACGCACGTTTCGTCCTATTTGGGACCCGTCAGCTGGATGTACCTGCATTTCAGAGTTGATGTTCACCGTGGGACTCGAACCCAGTACCTTTCGCTTCAAAGCAAGTGGCTACCAGGACTCGGTGACCGAGTGGATAACGCGATGGTGTTTCGAGCGAAAGGTACCGGGTTCGAGTCCCATAGTGAACATCAACTCTAACATGTAGGTACATCTAGCTGATGAGTCCCAAATCGGACGAAACGCGCGTCAAACTGGATTCCACTGCTAGCCACTATCCATCTATGCTTAAAATGCTTTATGATTCGATTACGTTTTTATAGGTATCGTTAGAAACAAACAGTCAACTACTACTATTATTGTCACCAGTGTTACTCCATACCTTCTCCTTCCCTCTCTCTGATATTAAACTACTCATCAATTTTCTGTTCTGCTTTTTCTAAAATAAAGCTTACTTTTAGTAATTAGAGTTATATAAGTATTGACGTACGTAATAACTTGTATCAACATCTTGTAATGACCCATTTAACACTATTTCTTTAAATATTCACATAAATTTCTTGGTTATATATTTATCTCTCGATCATTCCTTTTTAGTTCTTTAGACATCTATACTTCATTGATTCCTCGTTGAAAGTTTATCGAAGTTAGAGTATGCATATAAATACTGTCTTCTTTTGCGTATAGTAACATCTCAAAGGATTTATATACTTTCAAGCATTAAGAAATCATTATGGCACAAATTTCTTCATAAAATACATTGCTTAGCTCTAAATTTTACAAAGTTATTTCTAACATTTTCAGCTTGTGTGGTTATCATAAAATAGAGATACTTTATTTAATGAAATACATGTTTAGAACTGTTTTTAAATTGTAGTTAATATGAAGTTGATCAAATTCTCATTTGCTGATTCACATCTTGAGTAAATCTGGAAAAAGATGAGTTCTTGGTCGATAATTCTGTTTTAGTACGTAGCATCGTCTATAGAGATCGTGGCTGTTAACTTGATGTAGTGGCCTAGCCTGTATAACATTACGACCACAATCCAGATATAGTGCCTGAAATATTCGCTCTTTTAAGTTGATTGAAGAACAGTAAAAGGAAAAAACAACAAGCTCGTAGTCCAAGGGCGAAGTAGCAGAGCCAATTATACAGGCATGTAATGAAAGTTAAGTATTTCCCTCAGGTAGCCTGCATCCAGAGTCGTATTGTACTCCTACAACTGTAGGAGAGGGCTTAAAAAAGGTTAATCCTAAAAGTAACTCGTTCTTATCTCACAGATTTCCATTTCTTTTAATAAGACCCTAAAAGTACGGAGCTTATTCATATAAAACTATTTAAAAGAGACTGTGTGTGTGGTCCCAAGCAGCTGTTCTTTGGACACTATTGTCATCTCAGTTTTTGAAGATCCGCTCTTAAGCTAGTTTCCTTTTCAGACATTCTATTTCTTTGTGGTGTGATTGTTGTCACTGTATGTTTTTTTATTTAAATTACTACAATTGATAGATATGGAAACAAAACACGAATATCATTTTCTTATTTATTGGTTTATAGTAATATGCCTATAGAAGAATTATTTGTTCAATCTATTGATGAACTTGCTAGTCAAATTGAATTAGCACATCAAAATGGGCGTCTTGTATTCGTTTATTTTTCTGGCTCAACTGATATGAACACTGGGGATAGTTGGTCAGAGGATTGTTGTAAATGTAAGTTTTATTTTGAATATGTAGTGCAAAGATATTTTCTATTTTATCTGTCATATGTGTATTTATTTTTCTGTTTAAATGGCCCCCAAATTCCCTGGTACGGCCGAGAGTGGGGAGAGTCAGCTCTCCCTCTCCAAATGCTCTCTCATGGTCACGCGTATATAGCCTCTGCCAAGGAAGTCCTACTAACTGCCTTCTCGCGGCATTATTGTTGTTTACGAAATTAAGAGGACGAAAAGCAAATGTCTAACGCTTTGACCTGGTTGGTGGATACGGAATGTTCACTTAGGAGAGTTGGAAAACCCTGATTCCAAACCAATGGTGCACATGGACTGGCTCCAGTATCCTGAGGGAACAAATGGCGTATGAACCAATTGTTAGTTACCGGCTATTATGGGACCGCATCTCCTCACGATGCTCCACTGTCTTGTGGATTACACCTTTAGGTCAAAGACTCAGAGTGTGGCCCGTGCTTCAGTTTGGGCAGCTGGGCGGTATCACAGCCCTCACACAAATCAAATAAGATTTGTGCGGCATATATATATATATCGAATTTTCTTAAAAAAAACTCACGAGAAGTTTTGTTTTGTTGTGGTTGTTCTTTTAAGGAGATCTTTGTTGTTATATAAACATTCTAACTGATAATCTCGTTATTGTTTCTTGATCAATATCATCTGTGGGGTAAATTTCGGTGTTTACTCAAGTTTCTATACTAAGTCACCTCACTGAGGTGAAGTTAACGAGATGAATACTAAAACAGTTAAATCTTATTAGAATTAATCGCGATACAGAAGATTAGAGAATATAACTCGGAAAGAATGAACGAACTAAAGGAGTAAAAGGTGTCAAATAATATTGAACCTTATTACAATACAAAGCTAAATGTTGATTAGCTCTATGCCTGTTTGAATGATTCTGAAACATGCTATCCAGCGTCTATAGTCACTAATTTCAGTTATTTCACGCACTTCAATCGGGTAGTTTAGATTTACCAACATTTATCAATCCAACAACAAATAACTTCATAAAATACTGCTATCTTTCTAAGGTAGCTGCCTCTAGCTTTCTTCCAATTTTACACCTCAGTCAACATCGCTGTTCAAAATAAGCCACAACTGGGTACATGCTACACAGAACACAGACACTTCAATCGACGAATACTTACAGTTTCATCAACCGCTTTGTTTTGTTCGCCTGCACCAAACCTCAATGTCGTTCAGTCGTTTAGTCCACAAACTCATAAAGACTTTGCTTAAAATTTTGAATTTTTCATCAGTAATAATTGTTTGTTTTTCTTTGTTTCCGCATATTTATTATTTACTATTTTATAGGTGAATCTATTATAGAAAGTAAGATTGGAGTTGCTAAAGATAATGATTTATTTATAATGATTGAAGTGGGCAATGAAAATGAGTAAGAAATTGTTATTATTTTATCTTAGTTTTTCGTTTCAACTTAGATTATTCGAAAAAATGGACACCTGAAACAGAGTTAGCTGCTTCATTCTGATTTTCATAGTTGAAATCATGAGTCAATTGAAGCTAGATCACTAAGGAAACCCTGGAAGCACTGGACGGCCGTTTCGTCCTATTATGGGGCTCCTCAGCATTGCGCATCCACGATCCTAAGCGACTTAGAATACGCAGATGACATAGTCCTGTTTGGTGAAGACGCTGGCAAAATGCAGAGTCTTCTGTTGGAACTCAGTAATAATGCCAGGATGTTTGGGATGCGATTCTCCTCATCCAAATGTAAATTGTTACTACAGGACTGGCCTGCGTCAACACCCGAACTAAGGATAGGGAGTGAAGTAGTCGAACGCGTGGACAACTTCACTTATCTTGGAAGTCTGATCAGCCCTAATGGGTTGGTGTCTGACGAAATCTCAGCACAGATTCGAAAAGCTCGTTTGGCTTTTGCCAACTTACGTCACCTATGGCGAAGACGAGATATCCGTCTATCAATTAAAGGACGAGTATACTGCGCATCAGTTCGCTCTGTTCTACTTTACGGCTGTGAAACATGGCCATTAAGAGTAGAAGATACTCGTAGGTTACTAGTATTTGACCACAGATGCCTTAGAAATATTGCTCGCATCTGCTGGGATCACCGGGTAAGTAATAGTGAGGTTAGACGCAGGGTATTAGGTAACGATGGTAAATCAATTGATGAGGTGATGAATCTTCATCGACTGAGATGGTTGGGCCATGTGTTACGTATGCCTGAACACCGATTACCACGACGCGCTATGATGACTAGTACTGGGGATTGTTGGAAGAGAGTTAGGGGCGGTCAAACCAAAACATGGCATCAGTGTTTGAAGTCACTAACTTCTAGTCTGAGCCATGTTGGTAGATGCAGACTACCTGGTTGGGGTCCGCGTAACTATCGTAACCAGTGGTTGGAGACTCTAGGTGACATGGCTCATAATCGATCACAATGGCGTAGGTGTATACACTCTTTATCTTACTTTAAACCTTGAGACTAAAATTGCTTCATATCTCTCCTCCTTCCTGTACTATATCCTTATATACAACCTATAATTTATACACTACTACCATCACTAAATTAATTACTTCTATGAGCCCGGTGTTCATCTTGTTGTGCTAGCGAGGTATGGCAACTTGGACCGATGCATAAATGTGCCTGGTCCTACGTTGTAGCTGACTGACTGACTGCATCCACGATCCCGCACTCGCGAAGACAATTTGTGAACGGTCGCTCAAAATCGTGGATTGGTTGAAATTAGACATTAACACCGTTGGATGCCGGCTCATTGGTCTATCGGTTAATGGCTCTGGCTCGAGACTGATAGATCCTGGGTTCATTATATCAGGACGGATTCTTCACATCATTCTCGGTTTATTTGAATAGTAGAAAAAGCTAAACTGACAGTTCTTTGGAAACTATAAATAATTTCTTGAGGATCATTTACAAATTGCTGTCTTACGGAGAAATTTTTCGCTAGAAATTTTATTTCAGAAACAATGGTTCAATAGTTAGAGTATCCAACTTTAAGGATCAGATAGACAGACAGATGTCATTAACATAGAGGTCTGAAACAGACGTCCGTTGTCCCAGATTTCCATATCACATTAGCATAACAAGATGAAGATAACAAAGGAGATCGACGTAGTAACAATGATAGAAAGAAAGACTGTAAATATTATTTAAAACAGCGTGGGAATATGTGTATTAAAAATTTCGGAAATTCAAAATCAAGAGGACAAAATGAACAGTGAATGAATCTGTACTATTGTGGATGATTTTGAAACGTATCACCCAGCCACCGACGACGATCATCGCGGGGACATCAGTCAAGTGATATGCATCTACCTACGTGGCTCAGACCAACAGGCAATGACTTTATGGACTTATGCCATTATATGATTTGGTCACCTCTTAACTTCTCCCAACTAACTCAATCGATGAAGATTAACTACTTCACCAATTGATTTTCCACTCTTCCTGAGTACTCCCTGCTTAAACTCAAGATTACTTACTCGATCATCCCACGAAACTCAAGCTGTGCCTCGAAGACATCTATGATTAAAACCTTCAGCCTACGCGTTTCCTCTACATTGATCTACCATATTTCACACTAACAAAGTAGAACAAACCGTACTTCTGTGTAGTATACAAGCCATTTGCTGGTAGATGGACATCTCATTTACTCTGCAAGTGATGCAAGTCAGTAAACATTATAAAGTTTTAAATTTACATCAGTGGATGGTGACTCTGAAGGTTAAACACTTACAGGGAGACCTGGAGCTCCTAGGTTCTATCCTTTTTAGGACAAAAGAACCGTCTGTTAATTCTTGGTTTTCAGTGGTTATTTTACTAGGGATCGTCCGCATATAAATAGTAAACTGCGAAATATTTCTCATCATGATCTGATATCAACTGAACAACTATTGAGAATTATGAAGTACTTGGGGGGGGGTCTGTTTCTTCGTAGCCTGTAACTGTCCAACAATGAGCACCTGTGCCCTTCCCAAAAACTTAACTACCGATACTTTCTGGCCTCGCAGTGCGTTTTGTTTATTAAGACCGCTGAATTGTCATCTAATAGTCCATACTTCCAACTTGAATCTATTTTACATGGCATAAAACCAATCTTTCTTTTTATATAAGATCAACTTTAGTTTGCTTACTATTTTGTGTTGGTATACACTGATTGTACTTCAAACCCACACCAGTTAAACACATTACAAAATAATCATCCTCAATTGTTGTTACATATGATTTCAAATTATTGTAAGAATCTTACAGGATGTTACACATGTAAAAGCATAAAGTATCAGTTCTGAAAGCGTTCCTATGGCTTCAAAGTGGTTTGTAAAAGTCATCATGTAAATTACAGTCGTCAAATATTAATTTCTTGAAAATACAATTCACTCTGCAATACCATCCATTTGGGAATAATTCATATTGGGTTGTTGGGAAACCTTGATCAATTCAAATACATATACATATATATATATTTATAGAGAAATGATAAACTGATTTGTATCTTCAGAAGGGGTTTTTTGTGGGGATTTTAGTAATTTTATAGTTGAAATCATGAGTCAATTGAAGCTAGACTACTATGAAAAACCTGGAAGTACTGGACGGTGACTAGTGAAGTTCAACCAGGTCTGTTGCGAGATAGTAACTGACTGAAGACAATGGTAAACGGTTGCTCAATTTCGTGGATTGGTTGAAGTTAGACATTAACACCGTTTGACGCCGGCTCAATGGTTTAATAGTTAAGCGCTCGCGCGTGGGACTGATATGTCCTGGGTTCGAATCTCGTGAGGTGGGATCATGGATGCGCACTGCTGAGGAGTCCCATACTAGGACGAAACGGCAGTCAAGCAGTGCTTCCAGGTTTTCCATGGTGGTCTAACTTAAATTGACTCATGGTTCGTATCTGTTAACTATTCAACATTACTTAGTCTTGGTTGATATTTGCTTAAACTTTATCGTAACTGTAGATAAACTTAAAGAAATTGTAAACATACATATTTTTACTTCCCGTATTTTTTTGTGTAAAGGTGGAATGATTCTAATAACAAATTTCGAATTCATCCACTTTATCAAGTTAAAGAGTTGCCTACATTACTGTCATTATCATCTGTAAGTGGAATTTTTTTCTTACGGCTGGTTGTTTTCTTGTAGTTTTGATGATGATTTACAGCAGTTATTTTTTATTCAGAATCAATTTATAGCTACATTTCTATCATATTTTGTTATTTTTGGCAAAGGGGGGAGGAGTAAGTAAGGTGGTGGCTTTCTCTTCGTAATACACTACTTTCAATTAGTGATTTTCATCTCCGAACCCCTTGATACAGCTACTTTCATATGGCTTAGGGCCGAGCTGAAATACCTATACTTAAATGCCAAGGTACACTAGTAATGGAAATTATTTTACATTCTATACGTGAAAAGATCCCAGAAGAAATTAAACTTGATTAGACTACTGGTAAAGTTATAAATATATGATATGATATCATAACCCCCAAGAGTTATTCTAACAGAAACGACTGGTTGATGTAACCTCCATGACAATCTTCATCCATCTTTTCATTGACATTTCAGGGAACCACTTGTAAAGTTGAACTGTCTAAAATATTATCGGAGATATGTGAACAGCTGTTGCTTCCATACCAAGGTTTTTTTCCCTAAACCTCTACAAATGAAACTAGATTAATGAATGATCTTGCCAGTCTGGGAGCGTGATCTGAGGACCGGATAGTGACTACGTAATCAAATTGGTTACAACATTTTTGTGAATAGCTCTCTATAAACTTTTTAGAACTTATTCCCGGTACCAAAAATCCATATGGTGTAATGAAGAGTGCTGCACTAAGAGTTGACCTTTTAATAACCCTCATCTTTCTGTTATGTAAATATAAGCATTGATTAAAAATGCACTATTGTACCGCAGTACTATCAGGCTAGCTTAATCATACTGTATCCAAATTTAAAGCAGAATGGATGATCTCTTTTCAGAGATTGTTACTTATCCATCTTTTGTCTATTATAACTGTTTTAATGATCAGTAATGACAGATCATTAGTGTCAGTGTCAACTTTTATTTTATTGTATTTATACACATAAATAATTGGTACAAGGAAGCGCCTCTCAAATCTCATTCGATTTGTGTAAGGGCTGTGATACTGCTCAGGTACCTAAACTGAAGCAGGTGGTTTTCTTAAGGGGCCACACCCGGAGCCTTTGACCTAAAGATCTGATCCACAAGGCAGTGAAGCATCGTAAGGAGATGCAGTCCCATGGTAGCCGGTGAACGATTGATTCACACGCCATTTGTTCCCTCAGGATACTGGAGCCAGTCCATGTGCACCATTGGTTTTGAATCAGGGTTTTCCAACTCCCGCAGGTGAACCCTCCGTGTCCACCAACCCGGTTAAAGTGCTGGACATTCGCTTTTCGTCCTCTCAATTTCGTAAACAACAATAATGTCACTTTGAGAAGGCAATGAGTGGGACTTCCCTGGCAGAGGTTATATGCGCGTGGCCACGTGAGAGCATTTGGAGAGGGAGAGCGGACTCTCCCCAGGGCATTTTGGGGGCCAGTGTCAGCTTTGTCTTTTAATGATCATGTTATCATCTATTCCATTGATAATATAATAATTGATTTATTGTAAAGTTCTCTTTTTTTCTCGATCTATATAAATTCCAGTTAAATGGACAAACACATATAGTTAATCGTCTTGAAGGTAAATCATGCTTAAATTCAACAAATGTGCAAAATTTACTTGAAGGCAATTGAAATGTTGTTGTTGTTTTATCCAATGAAAAATATTCATTTATCTGTCTTAAACTTGAACTACAACGGCATTATTTCTTGACTTCATATTTATTGAAAAGGAATTATGAAATTCTGCTTTCATCAGATGCATTATTACCACAACCGCTATGTGTATGTATCGACATAATATTCTGTTGTGTGAATCAAGTCAGTTTACTCTCTTTTTTTTCATTCCGCATTTCTTGTGATTGTATATTTTTGTTCTTGTTTTCGTGTGTGCGTTGTACTTGGTGGTAACGACGTATCTCAACTTGGACCGATGCATATATATATGCCTGGTCCTACGTTGTAACTGACTGACTAACTGACTTGGTGATATTTCTTTTCATATCCTATTTTTTTGTTATTTTTCTGTGTTAAATTATCCTTGAGTTGTTGTTACTATTATTGTTTATTTATTTTTTATTTATCTTTTATTATTATTATTTGAACTTTGAAGTATCGTTGTTTTACTAATATGTTATTTACCGCCAAATATTTATTAATCAATGTTAACAAATAAACTTTAAATATGCTAAAAAGAATAACTTTTTCCGGGGGGGGGTTCCAGGTGAGTTATAGTTAATGATGAAATCTAAGATTAATGTTTCATTTTACTTGTGCCTTGTCATCCTAGTGTTGATAATGTGTATTGGAATATAAACTTAGCACCTTTCATTTTAAACTTCAACGAGTTATTCATTTACCTGTTTGAGTTCAAATAATCACTAACTTGTTTACTGTTAATTACAAAATTTTCATAGTTGAAATCATGAGTTAATTGAAGCTAGACCACCATGGAAAACCTGAAAGCACTGGACGGCCGTTTCGTCCTATTATAAGACTCCTCAGCAATGCGCATCCACGATCCCGTACTCGCGATATTCGAACTCAGGACATACCAGTCTCTCGCCAGAGCACTTAACTCATAGACCACTGAACCGGCATCCAGGTTTCCCATGGCGATCTAGCTTCAATTAACTCATGATTTCAAGTATGAAAATACTGAAATCTCCACAAAACCTCTTCTGAACTACGGAATTATCCGAAATCTTACTAATAAAGGTGTGATTTAATCAGTCAGTCATAAAAAACATAAAATTTGATCACAAATGCTTCACTTCAATTTGCCCTGTTTTGAATCAGCAACAATGAAATGAAAGTAAATGAATTGAAATGATAACCAGATTGGCATTGAATGTCTTACTTAAATATTTGTCTCGATCAATTCATTCTGTTGTGCTGATGTGTGAAGCAACTTAGGTCAATGTATATGCATCATAGGTCCTGTATTGCTTATGACTACTGACTGAAATAATACTGTAGTGAACAAAACACCTGTTGGAACAATCGAATGTATTTAAGCAGAAATTACAGACTATCTCACTAAATTCTGATAACCATACATCAAACTGTCAATTTGAAAAATAACAACCAATTGTCTCAATCTTCACTGTTCCTTCCGTAAATATCAGTTCATTTTCTCTAATTTCATTGTTCATGCATTTTCCTATCAATTGCGCTTCATTTCTGTTCGTTCCTTATCGGTCTTCTGCCAAAATACATTTTATGTCTGACCATCTCCTTATACTACTTATATGGATATAAGTAGACCACACTACAACACTATCGATTTCATTAACATTTGCATACAAAGAAATTATCAGCTGTGAGCACATCACCCAATGAGAGAGCAACCACATTTACTTAATAGCACGATCCAATGGTTTACACTTTCCTATCTCCAGTCAGTTTATGACCTTTTACAATAGTTTGAGTTCGCTGATACTTAATATTTTTCTAGCTATAGTCAGTTTTTGTTATGTAAACTAAAAACTGACCATTTCATAGATTTCTTATTCTAATAATAAAACATACAAGTCAAAACGAATAAATAGAAATTGTTAAACATGAATTATTAAACTCAAGAGGATAAATGAGTACACTTATGTTAGTGCATTCGACTTTAAGCTATGTTACTTCGAGATTCCAAGCCTAAACCTAATTCCGTAATCAAGTAAGGCTACATACCAATAGTCAATGACTCAAACTAGTATAAATTTTCATGACACAGTAGCTTAATGATTAAACTCTTTCGATTTACAACTAATAATAGGTCAAATGATTGAGCAATGATCCATTCACGAAGCTTCAGAAAGTAAAGTAGTTTCACTGACTGTTACATAAACAATGCTGATCAAATTCATGTCCAGTGACTCAATGTACATAACTCCATTAATCAAGCTATAATATCTAATGAAAATTCCTTCCGAAACTATGAAATGATAAAGGATTATTAATTCAGGAATGCAATAGGAAATACATTATTCTATAATTACTACAATAAATATAATTGTGTTTATGTTACCGACAACTACGTGACTCCAGACTTCAATATCTGTTTTCACTGATGAATTTTCTGTTATTGCCTTCAGTGATTCACTTTCACTTGTATGTGGTGATTTTAATTCATGTAATTATAGCTTTCCTTTATCACTAGGTCACCAAAACGTAATGGATTTTCCCACTCGTTTGGAAGCCCATTTAGACATAGTTTTCATTAATGGCATGAGAACATATGTAACTCGTAAACATGCATTATTGTCTAGTTAGGATTACTGTGTAATTAGCGTTCTATCAAAAGTATATGGCAGACTTGGAAAGTGCAAGCTCTTACATAAGACTTTTCCATGTCTAATGTGTTAAGAGCCTTTAGTACATCGTCTTGATCAGAGTCCATAGTGAGTGGACAATTTGTTGGATTTGTAGTTGGGTTTAGTTCTTCGTCTAGATGGGGTTCCTGAGTGAAACTGCCCAAAAATAGTTAGCCATACCCTCTGCTTTTTCCTGACTTTCTTCTATCATTTCAGATTCACTCCCTTAATTAGGTTGGGAACCCAATGCTGAATCCTTGTTTTGTAATTTATGTACGAGAATACTCTCTTAGGCTGCTTGAGTGCAGATTGTGCCAACTGCATTTCATATTTCCTCTGAGATTCCAGGGTTTTAATTATACACTCGTTTCTTACCGATCTGTAGCATTCCATCGTACCTGCTGTACCAAGGCTGATAGTAACATTCCAACATTTCTTCTTTTCTGCTAATAAACGTCGAATATCCCGGCCTATCCAGGGATGGTCGTGTTTCTTCTTCTTTAGGACTGTCCAGAGTATATATGGTTGAGTTACCCGATTGTATAACTGCTTGGAAGGTGTCCATGCCTCTTCTACTGATGCCTCTGAGTCGAATTTCCAGTTTTCTGCCTTCCATAAGTTGGGATGGGCCGGCGCAAATGTTTGACAGGCCATCTCAGCCATGGATTTGAATAATATGACTGCATGGTCACATCCCCCCCTAGTGGTGGGAGGAAAGTCATCAATTTACATGTCCCTGAATCATGTGCCACTGTCTCAACAGCTTGTATGCTCAAGGTACTTTTCGTGTACAGGATAACCCTGCCTCTCTTCGGTCTAATCTATCAACAATACTGGATATAAAACCAGTCAGTTGAATTTCATTATCAAACACTTCTGATGTTAACCATGTTTCTGAGACAGCAATGACATCCGGTTTTTCTATAACTACCATTATATTGAGATCTGCCATTTTATTTAGTTGGCTGTGTGCATATGTGCAGCGCACCTTTAATTTTGTATGGAATCTTCCTTTACCACCTAGAGCGGTTTGGGAATGGTTTTACTGCGAGATTTTACAATTTGAAAACCTTTAAGTAAGAGGTTTCTTTCACTGTTTCGGTGGTGCTCATTTATTTCTACTTCTTCAGCTCGTCTCTTAATACGGTCCACCAGGCTGAGATCCTCTCGGACGTATATTCCAGATCCAATCAGTTTGCGTGAGTTTCCCAGTATCAAGTTTCTTTCTCCAACAGTAGCAAAGGTAACCTTCAAGAGGTGACTTTTCTGAGTAATTTCAGAATCCACCTTTTGTCCTATTCCATAAAGCTTACAGATGCTAACCCCTGAAACTGTTTCTGGGAGTAGCTCGCTTATTAAGGACTTAATAAGACTGACATCGTGCTCAAATCTAGCCTTGGGTTTCTTTCCTGAAGATTCTCTTAACTTGAAAAATGACTGACCTATCAGCGAGGTCCGTCTCAACACTGTGGAATTTTAATTCCTGAAATCTTCTCTTCCCCGCAATCCTTTTCCAATCTGGCGTCGACCGCAGAGGTCGCATTCTGTTTCTTTACTTTTCTTTTCCTAGGTGTAACTGTAATCCATTTATTTACCTTATTTTGTCTCTTGATCACATCCTCTACACCGTTCAAAGTTGACTCCCCCAAAGTTTTTTTTTGCGTTGATATGTAAATCCGGAACTGAAACCGTAGATTCACATACCTTAGTACTGTCTATAATTAGTTTCTTCCCCGTGCGCTTTTTCCTTGTGACCTTGCCTACATCCGTATGTTTGTTATCTGCTTCCCCGATGGGATCCACCTCTATGGTCTCATTTAAATCCAGATCTGAGCTCATGACATCGCTCTCTATTTCCTCAAAAGCGGAATTCTGTTCATCTACTGCTACCTGTTTATCTGAGGGCAATTTTCTAGCTATGTTCACTCGCTTCTAGAATCGGTAGAGACTCTGTAGAACAACATGCTTTGCACAGTCAACATGATGATAGCTTGCAGCACCTTGTATATGCAGCTGGTGTGAGTCCGGTGAATATATTGTGATACCACTTATTGTAGTTATCACATCGCATCCCACCATCGAGAGGGAAATAGCATATAGGTCTGCCACAATGATGTCTTACTTGCACTACAAATTTGTTTCGTGATCTCACTGAGAAAACCGACCTCTAAATAGAGTGTCTTTTAAAGCTTGATATGTGATAGACAGACAAACAAAAACAGGGGTTTGCATATAACTGTACCAAACAACAATAAAAAATCCGACAAAAAGGACCTTAACATTTATGGATACAAAAAAATACTCAAAGACATACTCAACGAGGAAAAATAGATACCGGTGCCCTTAAACAAAGATGGATAGTGGCTAGCAGTGGAATCCAGTTTCACGCGCGTTTCGTCCTATTTGGGACTCGTCAGCTGGATGTACCTGCATCTCAGAGTTGATGTTCACTCGGGGACTCAAACTCAGTACCTTCCGCTTCAAACGCCATCGCGTACTGGGTTCAAGTCCCAGAGTGAACATCAACTCTGAGATGCAGGTACATCCAGCTGACGAGTCCCAAATAGGACGAAACGCGCGTCAAACTGGATTCCACTGCTAGCCACTATCCATCTTTGCTTACCATGCTTGTGAATTTAGGCTATATCGAGGCAATACGCACAGTATGCACATATGCCAATTAGAGACTGACCAGTCGCAGTCCAAAAACATCAATGGGAAGATTCAAACAAACAATACTCAGTGAACCAGTGCCCTTAGTTTTTTGTATCTGTACTCGTAAAATACAGATGATAAACTTCTCTAGAAGCGATAACCAGGTGAATATTTGACTTAATTAAGTCTTTTATATGCCAGTCATCTGATGTCATGCTTCCTATCAACACAGTTTTGAAGAATAGCTGTTTTCCGATTTTCACTGAAACTGATGTCCGAAAATGTCTCCAGTCACTTAACTCGTTCGAGTGTTCAGAACCTCATGAAATCTCAAACCCCCATTTTCAGAAATGTACTGACATTTCTTGTTATCCATTAACAAACATATTTAACAAACCCTTCGCAACTAATCTCAGAGAAAATGGGGAGAAAAATAATAATTCCAATGCTTAAGAAAGTATCTGGCTATAAGAATGTGAAATTTAGAACCATTTCAATCACTCCACCTTTTCTCAAAGCAATGGAAAATTTATTGGTAACCCCACTTCAACCTGCACTAAAAGAGCACATTTATCTTTATCAATTTGCCTACAAATGCAATGTAATATATAATATATTATATAAAATATTATGCAAAATTTTAAACATCCATGAATTATCCATATAATTCAAAGTCTATATAACTTTGTTGGGAGTAAATATGATTTGTCTAGGGTATGGTTCAGTGATTTGCCGTGTTCACAGTTTTTTTCTCACAAATAAGTCAATTCTTTGTCCGCTTGTCTAGTCAGTTAGTTAATCTTTTTTATCGTTGAAAGTTGTTCGTCTGAGTGTTAAGTGTTTGAAGTATTAAAGTGGATAGTTTTAGAAGTGACTAAATCAGATGTCAATATCCTAGGCTTTTGTTTGGTGCGGTATAAATCCGTCTAGCCTAGACTTTGACTCATACTGTTACGTAGTGTGAATAAGTCACTCTGCTGTTGGGTCAATCAAAAATAACCACACACTCATTTCTCGATTGTAACTTACCCCTCCACAGCATAACAGAAAGATATTTTGATTGAATCGTATCTACTATTTCATATGTACGAATCAAGTCATATATACCGGAAGATCAGAGGAACGTGCCTAATATAACACCCTAGGACAGTTCAAAAATGGATGGATGCGACTGAACTTCTACAACGGATTATGAGCTACATCACTCAAGATCCACGATTAGTGTGCGGACTATAAGGAAGTATGAGCCTCCCAAGACGACTAATATCAGGAGTCAATAATATAATGTATTGATGTCATAGCTTAGTTTAATATTCTTTAGCTTTCTTTGAACCAGCTTAGACGCTTGTCACTACTGAACCACAAGATGGATTGTGGATGGGAAACCTATATTTTATTCAAAAAGTGGTACGTAAAACCGAGCAGATAAACACATGTGTATCTAGAAATGTCTTATTTTCTATAATAAATACAAGTAAACACTAATGCGTGGATTAATTTTAGAAAGTGAGTTCCAATCAGTTCTAAAAATTCTTTCTTCAGTTCAGATAAATTCTTCATTTATCTCCTATACCATGATTTAAAGTGTTTTTCAGATTTAATTTTCTTTTGCAATTGTAATATAGAATACATTAGTGCTTCCGCAGATGGAGGACAACCTAAAAAATTTTAAAAAATAAATAAGAATATTTGTATTGTTACTTTCAAGTAAAAGAATGAGTCTGATTCGCCACAATAGTTTAACATTAAGCCTACTATTTGTTACTTAAATTAACCAGGCATATGGTAGTTTACCTGTCACTAAATAATTTGAACTTACAACAATTTTCCACTACATAGATTTTGTTTAGCTTACAATTTTAGTGCGTTCGATCTCACTGAAAAAGTCTGCAATAAGTTAACATGGGACCACTGAATTACTTAGTTATGGAAATCCTATAACCTGGCACAAAAGTACGCAGCTTCAAGTTGTTACAGTTCATATTGGTGCATTGAATCAGGGAATCAACAAGAAAATTACTGGTATTGAAAGAAAGAATACGTCATCTCAACATGACTTCAATCGGAAGCCACAGGTTGATTTCTTCAAACCTTTTAACCTGTGAGGATAACGTGTGTACATCTCATAATAAAGTCAGTGCTTTTACTCAATTAAATGGTTGTCCCCGACCGTTGCTGCTACCTTGACGTGGTGGTCGGGCTTGCCTATCGTGATGATCTAATCGAGTTATGCTGGCTGGAACAATCGTTCCTCAAGGTCCTACCATGCCAGACAGGTCAGTTGAAGAGCAGTGAGACTGTACAGAGGTGTGAAAGCAGTAAGGTGTTTCCTTCAGGCAACCAGCATGACAGCGATGCTGCCTTCCCACAAGGAGGGGTGGGGTTAGAAAAGGTCGACCCTAAAAATGCACACCTCGCCTTATCCCACGGATTTCCGTCTCCGGCGGTAAGGACTTTTGAAGAACGGAGCTAACACGTCAAAAATCCCCCACAAAAAGGCCGTGCGTGACCGGCCTCAAGCAGGTGTCCCTTGGGCACTGCGGTCACGCTCCCAGGTCGTTAAGACCAACACTAATCCAACTTCTTTTTCAGGTCCCTCAAGAAATACCCTTCCACGGTGTGGGCAGCCGGGAAGTGATAAATGCCCTCATACCCTTAACTGCACACAAGACCAAGTTGGTCGCTTTCAAATCCTTCCTACACCTAATAACTCTGTTATCTCCACGACTAACCCTTCCCACGTCCTTTTATCACCTCGCACCGCTAGGGCAAACGATTCGAGTACACAGAACGTTATTCCTGGTCTCCTGAAATCACACTCTAAACTACATATAGGAACTTTTAATGTCCGAACATTGTGCCAAATAGGACAACAGGCTTCCTTAGCTAGGACTCTAGAATCTTACACCATCGATGTGTGCTGCGTCTCCGAAACGCGCATACAAGATCCGAGTAGTGTCATTCATTTGACCGCACCTAATCAAAATAAAGTTTCATCTCGATACACGCTTCGTGTATCTGGAAGCCCTGACACTGCTTCCCGTGGCCTCGCTGGAGTAGGTATAGCATTAAGTCCTAGGGCAGAACTAGCTCTTTTAGACTGGATCCCAGTAGACAGTCGTCCATGCGCTGTCCGACTAAACGGATCAGTAAGGACCCGGAGAGATAGGGAAACTCGTCGTTGCCTCTTCGTCGTCTCTGCCTACTCTCCCACTGACTGCAGCTCAGACGATATAAAAGATGAGTTCTACAGGAAACTTTCTGACCTTCTCCGAGAAGCTAGGCGTTCTGATGTAGTAATAGTAGCAGGTGACTTTAATGCTCAAGTAGGTAAACTAAGTGAAAGGGAAAGACACCTGGGTTGATCTTATGGTGTCATGGCGAAAAGAACAGATAATGGCGACCGTCTGTTGCAGCTGTGCTCAGATAACCGCCTATTTCTTGCAAATACTAACTTTAAGCATAAGGAAAAACATCTTTTGACATGGCGACCCCCGAATTCGTCCCAACGTTGGACCCAACTAGATCACATCGCTATCAGCCACCGATGGAGGGGCTCGATAGAAGACTGTCGCTCATTCTGGGGCACATGCTTAGATACAGATCATGCTCTAGTGCGAGCACTTATCTGTCTGCGTCTTACTGGTCGTAGGAAAGACACTGCAGGGAAGCCTGCAAGGGTTCTACTTAATGATAGGCAAGCTAAGAATATATTTCAAAAACAACTAGAAAAACAGTTAGGCAGCCATGTAAGTTGTGTCCACCCCGAGGCAGCGTGGAATGACATCCGAAAAGCTGTGGAAACAGCAGTGATATCCGCTAATAAGGTAAACCATAACGTTAGGGAGAAACAATGGATCTCGGCAGCATCTACCGCACTGATAGATGCTCGCAAACTCATCCCACCTGGCTCTGAGCATAACGAAGAGCGGAGTCAACTTAAGCGCAGGCTTATAAGAAGTCTACGTAATGATCGTGAACAGTGGTGGGTAGCGAAAGCAAGAGAGATGGAAAAGGCAGCGGCAATAGGTAACAGTAGGCAGCTATTCAGACTCGTTAAAGAAACCGGTATTAGGAACCCGAATATCAGTGAAACCATCTCAGATAAAGATGGGCATATTATTCATTCTCAATCCAGGAGGTTGGATCGATGGGCAGAACACTTTAGGGATCAGTTCAACTGGCCTTCAGCCACACTTCAATTACCCACGATCCCCAGTCGTCCTGAATGGCAAATTGATGTAAGTCCTCCAACCCTCTGTGAGATTGAAAAAGCTATAGGAAATCTGAAGCGAGGGAGAGCAGCAGGCCCTGACAGGTTGACCCCTGAGATTTTTAAGGATGGTGGTCCAGTACTAGCAGTGAGATTGGCTGAGGTCTTAGGTAGAATCTGGGAACTGGACGTAATTCCATCTGACTGGTCCCAATCACTGATTGTGCCAGTCTATAAGAAAGGACAAAAGTCCTCCTGTGACAATCAGAGGGATCAGTTTGACTAATATAGTGTCTAAAATATTAGCTTCAATAATACTAGGTCGCCTAACCAAAGCTCGTAAAGAGCAGACTAGAGAAAACCAGGCTGGTTTTCGACCTGGACGTGGTTGCATAGACCAGATATTCACCCTACGTCAGGTTCTAGAACATAGACACACATTCAGACGTCCCACAATAGTAGTATTTCTTGACCTTAAGGCGGCATTTGACTCCGTTGATCGTGAGGTTCTATGGCAATGTTTGTCACTGAAATGAGTACCAAAGAAGTACATTAACCTCATAAAGGCTCTCTACTCGAGCACAACTGGTCAAGTGAGAGCCTATGGTGAACTGTCATCAGAACTGATTACCACAAGTGGCGTTCGTCAGGGCTGTCCACTCTCCCCATTCTTGTTTAACTTTGTCATTGACATACTTTTAGAGATAGCACTTTCATCAGCTAAACCTCCAGGAGTTGAACTTTTACCAGGAGGCTCACTTGTTGACTTAGAATACGCCGACGACATAGTTTTACTCGGTGAAGATGCTGACAACATGCAGAGTCTTCTGACCACTATAAGCAACTATGCAGGCATGTTCGGAATGCGATTCTCTCCCTCGAAGTGCAAAATGTTACTTCAGGATTGGGTTGCATCGACACCTGAACTAATGATAGGGAGTGAAGTAGTTGAGCGTGTAGACCACTTCACTTATCTTGGGAGTCTCAACAACCCTTGTGGTCTGGTATGTGACGAAATCTCAGCACGGATACAGAAGGCTCGTCTAGCTTTCGCCAACTTGCGTCATTTATGGTGTAGGCGAGATATCCGTCTACCAAGCAAAGGACGGGCTTACTGTGCAGCAGTTCGTTCCATCCTACTTTATGGCAGTGAAACATGGCCAATAAGAGTAGAGGATATTCGTAGGCTACTAGTGTTCGATCATAGGTGTCTTCGAAGTATTGCTCGTATATCCTGGGACCACCGGGTAAGTAATGCAGTTGTTAGGAAACGAGTACTAGGTAGGGATGGCAAATCGATTGATGAAGTAGTGAAACTTCATCAGTTGAGATGGCTGAGACATGTGTTACGTATGCCCGACCACCGACTGCCCCGACGTGCAATGTTTCATGGTGTAGGAGTAGGTTGGAAGAAAGCTAGGGGTGGCCAGACCAAAACGTGGCACAAATCAATGAAGTCACTGACAATTGGACTGATCCATGTTGGTAGTTGTAGACTACCTGGTTGGGATTCGCGAGATGATAGCAACCGATGGTTAGAGACCTTGAATGACATGGCTCAAAATCGTTTGCAATGGCGAAGGTGCATCCACTCTTTGTGTTCTACCAAATTCTAATCTTCTGAATTCCTCATGTCTTTATCTTTTTCTCTTTCCAAATTTATTTCATTGTACTATACTCCTTCAATAATTTCTTCAAACCCTAATCTTTTGGATTTCTGATTATACTCCTACTACTTCTACCACTATGGGATTTGAATGCACAACTGCATCTCTGTGCTAATGTGGTATGGCAACTCGAACTGATGTACGTACGTACGAAGTTCTACGTTGTGACTGACTGACTGAAATGGTTGTCACGCAAAGCAATTATTAGTCGTATATAACTGATTATTGTTTAAGTAACTAGACATGATACATCCCCATTCGCTTACCAAAAGAAAGGATACAGGGCGCAGTAGCTAACCCTATATTTATGCTTGTGAAGTGGTACATGAGAGTTTAAGATATGTGTAGATTGTTGGTAGTTATGACGACGGGTCTTGCACATATAAAGTCCAGCCACCATGTAATGCTTAAGCTACCCGCAGGCTAATAGATGAAGACGATGCATGTTTGGTGAGGTTGTGAACGTCCACCAATTAGTGACGGGGATATGCTCGATATATTCCACACTACTCCCCAACTTTTAAATAGAATAAGTACCCAGATAGAAAATTTATTCTTCATACAAGTATCGCTCGTATTCAAGCACACAGACAAGTAATTAATTCAAAAACCGTCTATTTTTCGCCCTTTTGTATATAGCTTATTTGATAAAATTAGGTCAGATCCTCTAATTTGTAGCTAGCAATTTAAATTTTTTTTTAAAACTGGCAGGTCAAACTAAAAACAAAATAAACCTAACAACACACCTGGGACATATATATCAACTGGGATAATGCGATCACAGCCACGTACAACACTATATGAATAATGATAGTAACCACCACCATTTGCACAAGAGCCCATTGAAATAACCCACTTCGGTTGAGTCATTTGGCTGTAAATTCTGTGAAGAGCCGGAGCCATCTTGTTCGTAACAGTTCCAGAGACGATTAAAAGATCAGCTTGACGTGGGCTAGCCCGAAAAACTACCCCATAACGATCCATGTCATAACGAGGCCCAGCGATATGCATCATTTCAACGGCACAGCATGCAAGACCAAAAGTAAGTGGATATATGGAGTTCTACGGAGTGAAACAATAAAAATTGACCCCACTTTTCTGGCCCAGTCTGCTAAATCATCAAGCCGGGTGATAACATAGTCTATTTTCCCTTGTGGTTTTGGAAAAGGACTGTACGGTTTAAATGGAATGGACTCATCAGAACTATCAACTTTCGAAGGTTGACTAGAGTTATAGAAAAACATTTCTATCACTAACCTTGGCTCCGAAGATGAAAGTCGCGAGTATGATGAATAAATCAGCCTGTGTAGCCCGTTTTTGCTACTCAAGGACAACATACTGAAGTAACAGTATGATCGAAAGTAGCGGTCCGAAGTCTGAATCTAATATCCAATATTAATTACTCTTTCAGACTCAGTTCTAAAAGAACAGAAAAATGGGTGGTTCGTACAAAGCCTTACAATGTTGATCTTTAAGTTAATACAAACATTTTTCGAATGTGCTTCAACCACGAGTTTAGTTAATGGGTCCAACTCGTTCAAATGGTTCAAATGGTTGAGGACGGAATAGAAGAAGCTTTCGCTTAACGGGCTTCCGTGTCTGGTAGTAGTGGATCACCAATACCTCCAGGCAAGAACCTAGGTATATGAACGATAATAAAGGGAAAAAAAGAATTTGGTAAATCATAATAATATGTTATCCTTAGTCCTTAAGAATAAGTCAAGTTTTCTCTTAAAGGACTCCTGGGAGGTCGCTTGGACTAGCTCAGTCGGCAGCGAATTCCAGCACTTGACAACTCTAACGGAGTAGAAGTTGTGTCTGCAGTCTGTTCTGCTATGTAGGGTCTCCAATTTCCGGGTGTTACCTCTGAGGTTAGTGTTATGACTAAGCTTAAGAAGTTGTTTAAGGGGATGACCAGAAGTATTAAGGATACTATAAGTCATAAGAAGATCACCTCTAAGACGCCTATACTCGTTTATGCTTTGATAGTAAGGATACTACAAATATTCGAAGTTTCACAACGACTTAACCGGTAACACTTTTACAGTCGAAGCACGTCAATCTAGTCAAATCAGAAGTCAGAAATGAAGGAATTTGAGGATATATTGCTAGAATATCGATACATCGAGAAGTGATCAATCTAATCTGGCTAGCAATTATTTTAGATATGAGGCACGACGTATCCACCCGTGATCTGGTGCATATGAGTGACCAAGCGTCCCAAGCTAGATGGGTCCATCAAAACTAATGTGGTCGGCATCAAAATTCGAAGACTTACATAGTACTGATCTTGGGGATCTATTTACCATTACAATAGGAAAGTCGATGAGTAGTGGTTTGTTTTTGAAATGTGAAGTATTTTCAATTGTCCTCGTAAATTTGCTGTTTTTGAAGCAAAGAAACCTGATAACATGTTTGCTGAAAACTTTTCATTTGGTATTTCAAATTTGTGATCAATTCAGGTCCCGTCCTTCTGCACGACAAAGGGAAATTGAATTAATTTAGCCTGTCTCGCGTCATATAACAGATGTACAGGTCCAGGAGCCAGACTATATGTTTTCCTTTAAGCACTGAATACATAGTCCAAACGTTTTGAGCAGCGACGTGGTTAAACGCTCCACGTATTGGCCACAGGCTTTTAAAGCCTTTGGTGGTTATCATACTACAGTTTGAAGTAGTTAACAAGTCTTGTGAGTCTGGACAATAAGTATTTCACTGCTACTCACCATTATAACCAACATGCATTGCAATGCATATGAGACCAGGTATCGACGTTTGATAAATCACAGCCTGCTAAGATTATTTCTGTTGATCCTCCGAACAATCACCTTCATTTCTAGTATTTCTTCTTATCTTGGCATCGTCAAAATGTAAAAAAACCGACGATGGTAATAATAATAATAATATATTTCTGCAAAAGCAGGTACACACCATTTTTACCGGCATGATCTATAAGTTACAACAACTACTGGTTCACAGTTTGCATCCCAAGCAGGGTTGTTTAGTAATTATAATCTATAAAAGTCAATAGCAGTTCATTTGTTCTGATATACTGTGTATTCTTCAAAATATTTTCCAAACGGGCATCGCGTCCACGTTACACACTAGATCCAATCTCGGCAGAAATTGTCTTAGGATTTCGTCCGTGTTAAGTATTTATGTAATGCAGCTTTTTCAGTTTATAATTGTTATAAAGTAGACTTGTAGAGCGCCTGATGAACTAGGGAACGCGCCTACATCGAGGTTATCCCGGATGTCAGGAGTTCCTCAACTTCACCCTCAGAGAAAGATTCTGAAGAGAAAAAAATGTAGCCGAGGAGCAGCAAGGCGTTTGGATATGAACGATAACCAATGCTTAACATTTAATAGTGGAACAGACGGAGTTGTGATAAGTTATTGGATTAAATTGATACTAGCTCATGTTGCTAGAGTGAAATGTGATCAGGGGCTCCAGATGAGAGAATGCAGTAGTGAATAGCAATGGGTTGTGGTATTTGTCAAGGTGGAGTAGGTTCAAATGAAGAAGACTATTTATTAGAACAGAGAGTGCATATAGAGAGTAGAGTATTAAGTAAAATAATTGTTAGTTATGTCCATAACTATCCAATCAAATCGTTGCTTAAGCTCCCACCACGTTAACATGGTCTGATGTGTCTGTAAACTATCCCTGTTGCATGTGACCTACCAATTGAAAGACATTATTATCCTATTATATTAGTGTGACTCATAAATTTATTCATTTTATTAAGACACGCAATACTGGTCGGTATGTTTGTGCGTTTCACTTAATGACTGTAATTCTTTTATTATTGTACTAATCTAATTGTTTTTATGTTCAGAAACAGATAAAGTTTAAAGCCAAGTTGTCCTTGTTCTGACTATAGCTTTCACATAGACTCTGGGATCGCCAGTATCGCGTTTACAGTTTTAATAGTATATCTGTAGGACAAAATAAATCCTACATAGTTTCGACCAGTATTTCATCAAAAATTCACACATTGAGTACTGTTAAATGTCGATGGAGAATCATAAAACGAATCAGATTCCTGAATTGTCTCCCCATTATTCGGAAACTCATAATGATGACCAGTTTGGAGGAAATAGCTGTCGAATGGATCCCTTGTTAGAGTTAGAATTAGCTAAAATACGCTTAGCTCAGACAGAAAGAGAAATCGAGTTAGAACACTTACGTCAGAAGGGAAGAGAACATTATAATCAAGCTGTGGCTGACAAAGCGATGTACAAGTCTACATTTACCTCACCTGCAGTTGATATTCCTCCTGAAAAGGATTGGATAACAATGATATCTAGAGCTTTAGACCTACCAAAGAGAGAGATTATAAGGTTTAATGGCAATCCCATGAACTATTGGAGCTTCATACGAAATTTCGAAGACTGTTTTGACGAAAGAGTTGGATTCCGATCTAGGTTAAATTATTTGATTCAGTATTGTGATGGTGAAGCTAAGGCTACCATTGTTCACTGTGCATTGCTTGAGCCAGAAGAAGGCTACCGAAAGGCGTTAGAGCTTCTCGAGGAAGCATTTGGTCAGAAGCATATCGTGGCCCATGCATTTATTGATAAGATGCTGAATATCCTGCTATTAAGGGGACTGATCCAGATGGTTTAAGAAGACTGTCGTGAGATGCATGTTTGTGAGCTCACACTCACGCAGATGAACTATGTATCCGATCTTAATTCTACAAAGACCATCGAGTGTATGTTCTTAAAACTCCCACTGCATTTGCAGAGAGAATGGGTTAAAGTTGCATCTAGGATTCTTAAGACAGGTAGAGAGCCTTTGTTCAAGGACCTTTGTGAATTTGTGAAGGAGCAATCAGACATTGCTAATACTAGGTATGGATTACTTGTCAGCGGTGATATTTCTAACCGCAACCAAAGGCAATCAGTTGCCGTTACAAAAAGGCCCTTTGATTCAGAGTACAAAGCCAGAGTGTCGTTTGCTAACACGAGTGAGTCTGTTGTCTCCCCACACGTAGGACCAAGAACTCTTGGGTTATCATGTTTGTTATGTAGTGGAAACCACCCCTTGGACCAATGCGAAACGTTTAGAGATAAGGATGTTAGTGAAAGAATAGAATTTGTATTAAGGAAGAAGTTATGTAATGTCTGTCTGAAGGCGAACCATATAGCAAGAAACTGTCGAGCACCGAGATCATGCGCTGTCGATGGGTGTGGTTGGAGACACCATACCTTGTTACACAGAAAGCGGGAGGAGCAGAGCGATAGTAACAGTAATGTCCATATTAATACCCAACTCTGTACGGAAGAAAGTGCTAAGCATGTACAGGGACAAGTAGCATTTGCGATAGTGCCCGTATTGGTAAAAAATGGAGAAAGATCATTTCAGACTTGCGCTTTATCAGATAGTGGCTCAGATGCTTCGCTTATTACAGAAGATCTAGCTATAAGGTTGGGTTTAGAGGGAGAGTCCAAAACGCTTTTACTGAAAACGCTAGATAGCCAGTCCACATTTCATTGTAAAGAGGTTCAAATTGAAGTCTCCTCCCTGGATTCTTCTTCATCATTTAGAATTTCAAAGGTATGGACAGTCGAGAGATTACCTCTGTTAAGCAGGACGGTACCAACAACATCTCAGATGGTATCATGGTCGCACTTGCGTGGTGTGACCCTCCCGACAGTTGACGATGAAGACGTCAAGGTACTGATAGGTTGCAATGTACCTGAGGCACATGAGATAGAAGAGAAGAGGGTGGGAAAATCTAATGAACCATACGCTATAAAAACTCCTTTAGGGTGGACGTTGTTTGGACCTTACATTGAGACCACGAGAAATATGGGTATCATAAATTATCTATCATCTAAAGAGGAACTAGAAGCTAGATTGGACCAGCTATATAAGATGGACTTCGAAGAAGACCCGAATCATCGTGTGCCCATGTCGGTTGAAGATCGTAAAGCCTTGGATACTATGTCCAAATCTATACAGTTAGTGAACGGGCATTACCAGATAGCTTTACCCTGGCGTCACCAGCAAAGTCTACCTAGTAATAGAAAACTAGCGATGAGTAGATTAATTTCCTTGAGAAACCGATTTATCCGTGACCAGAGGTTGCACAAAGAATATATTAATGTGATGGCTCAGTATGTTGAAAAGGGTTACGCAGAAAAGGCTTCAGGGGACTTTATTAGATGTCGAGTTTGGTATCTACCGCACCACCCAGTCTTCCATCCGAAAAAGCCTAATAAACTAAGAATCGTATTCGACTGTGCAGCACAATATGCCGGGATATCCCTTAATAAAAACTTGTATTCTGGTCCAGATTTAGTTAACAATTTGGTAGATGTCTTCACCAGATTTCGGTGACGACCAATAGGCCTCACGGCAGATATTGAAGCTATGTTTCATCAAGTGATTGTTGCGTCACAGGATCGTGACGCCCTTAGATTTCTATGGTGGCCGCAGGGTGACATAAGAAATGAACCAGAGACCTATAGGATGAAAGTGCATTTGTTTGGTGCGACCTCCTCACCCAATTGCGCAACGTTTGCTCTACAAAGAACTATTCTAGATA